ATAATAATAATAATTGATGCTTGTCCTATCTCAATGATGAGACAATCAGTTGGCTAAATAAGGACCTTTCTATTTAGATGATGTGAACTTTGTGAACTTGTTGTGCTATATGAAGTATGCACGGGGGCGGAGGGCGGATTCGCCCCGGAAACACCATAAACAGCCCCCAAAATAGGCTCAAAATCCGATTTCGGGGGCGACATCAAAAAGTGAAATGATCTCAAATCGCCCCCGTAACGATTACGAGCGGTCGCGCGCTCTCTTCTAGCTTCGTATTCATTGCTTGCATTTCTTGGTCCGCGCGCTGAATCTCCGTGTAAAATTGTATACACAAAAATCGGTCATAAAAAAAAACTCGAACCATATTCCATACCTTACCTGGCTTACCATGTCGCAAATACTAGCTACGAGTGGGTCAAACAAGCTGTGGAACGTCGATTGAGAGATTCTCATGCTCAGTATTGGTCTGCTTGTATGTACGATAATTCGCATTGTGTTAATTATCGAATCTTCAAACATTCTTTATGTCTAGAAAGATACTTAATCGATCTCATTAAAAGAGATCGGACAATATTAAGTTGTTTTCGCTGTGGCAATCATTACCTGCCGATTGTAGATATTCAAATATTCCAAGGGAAATGAGGCTATGTACGCTGTGCAATTTGCAATCGCTTGGGGATAAGTTTCATTACTTGTTTTTATGCCCTACCTTTCGTTCAGAAAGAAAATTGTTCATCGATAAATATTTTATTGAAAGACCAAATACACTGAAAATGGGTCAGCTTTTTAACTCCAATAATGTACAAACACGTTTAAACTTAGTAAAATTCTGTCGAAAAATAATGCTTCGTTTTCATTAATTTATGTGCAAAAACATGTTATGAGTTCAATATTAACTTTATGTTTCTCCTTTTTGTCTCATATCAATTTATTAAATTGATATCGAGAATATTTTCAGTAATTCATTAATTCAGATATCAATTTACTGGTGCCAGTAAATTTCTTTTTCAATTGCTTCCATTGATTTCGTCATTAATTATCGTTTTAATTAATATTTTCGTTTTGTTTTTGATTATTATTATTATCATCATCAATATTGTTATTATCATTATCATAATTATTCTCACTATTGTCGATAGTGTTATTTTGTATGGATTAACATTAATTCTATTTGTAATATATATTTCACAGTGTTTAATTGACAAATTCAAACTGATTGTAAACTTCTCTAATACTCCAATGTGGGTGACATGACAATGAAGCTCCAACACCGGCAGCGCAGGCGTCCGATGCCGGTGTTGGAGCTTCCTGGAGTTACGCTGCAGTTACGCTGCAGTGTGTGTGAGTTGAGCTGAGCTCGAGTCGAAGAGATTTGACACTTTGAAATTGTTATCTGTTGGTTTGCATCATTATTGCCGCGATTTCAATATAGTTTCGTGAATAGATTTACGAAACCTGAGCTTAGAATTAGTAAAAGTATTACTAATGTCTACGTTTTTAAACGACTGTCTGATTTTCTTGTGAAAATTTTACTTTTAAAAATGATTATCGAAATTCATGGCCAGAAATAATGACAATCTAGGGTCTATTATGTTACAGTTCTTGCATCAAATCAATGCATCAAATCTTAGTTATTAAACTAGAAAAAGGGGTTTCTTTTTTAATAGGCAATTAATGAAGCAGGTACCCCGAAACCTTTGCTTACTAAACAAATCTCAACAAACTGTAGGCCTATCCTTTTATGAATTCATGAAAAAGTAGCCCCAGTAAAAAGAGCCCCCGAAAATTTCCCCAAAATTTGAAATGGAGCCCCCGAAATGAAAAACTAAATTTTTTGCCTGGTTTTTGTGCATGTTTACTAAGAACGTATGTTTTATATAATTATAATCATAAACAAATAATCGCTAAAAAAACTCTTCTGTAAACCCGAAAAACTTTTGATTAGGGCGTGTTCTAGTGGATAAGTCACCCGACTGCAGATCAAGGTACAGGGTTCGAGTCCTGCCGTGGCACTAATATCCTTTGGCAAGACGTTATATTTTTCACTCTCCACCCAGGTGTTAAATGGATACCCGGTAGGATGCAAAAGTTAATGTGGTTGGATGGGCAAGTGCGCGCTTGTAAAATGGTGACTGGCTGGAATACTCCCCAGTGAGTGGAGAATATGCATACATTGTGTGCAGGTAAGCCTAAATCCGATGACCGGGGTCATAATAAATGTATATACTACGCCTAGAAACGCGTTATAAATGTGATCTATTAAATATTATTGTTATTAAAATTGTCTGAGATTTTGCATAGCCAGTTTACTTCAGCTTCTACTAATTTTCTCCAGCAAAACTCCATCAGTAACAGTTTGAAGAGACAATCATAAGTGATTATCATTAACTCTCGCAACATAAATTTCTTCAGATTTGAATAATTACCATAGTCCATATAGACTATGGACAACTTTTGACTTTGTTCCGTTTGGAGACACTGATAGATCTAGATCTAATTTGAATTGTTAAGTCAATGTCAATAGCTGATATTCCCTGCGGGGCTTGATTTTGTAAAAGAATTCTTACTCTTGAATTTGCTTATCCATTTGTCGTATAAAATAAGGTTTATTTAAACTTTATTTTGCCAAATATTTTAAATAATTCAAATAAGTCATTTTAGATTAATAAGTCATCATGAGTAGGTTGTAAATATAATCCTTCATTTATTTTGTTGAGAAAACACACGTTCATTGTTACAAGGTGGACGAATGCGAGGGATGTGATAAGAAGACTGATTAAAGACTGATTAAAATGATAAACGATACATAATGTAATAGAATAAGATAAAGAGCTAGAGGATTTGTTTTTTCCCTTTTTAAAAAATTACGGTAGGCCCTATGCCTTAACTGAGATCCCTGAGTGAACTTTCCCCTCGTACCGGATTTGAAGACACGATTAAAAAGATTTCAAAATTGTCGATAATTTCAAATCTCTTCTTCAATATATTTTCCTCTTCTAAAGCCAATTTGAAGTCCCATTAATTTTTGTTAATGGCCCAGCATTTAGTGTTTAGTATTAGCTCATTCAATCTACTATTTCCATCTAATACGCATTCTATCTACTATTCTCATCTTTACAAGTAAGTTAACACATTCTATCTACTTTTCTCATCTTTACAAGTAAGTTCACACATTCTTACTACTATTCTCATATTTGCAAGTTACTTTTAAACACATTCAATCTACTATTCTCATCTTTACATGTAAGTTCACACATTCCATCTACTATTCTCATCTTACAAGTAATTCACACATTCAATCTACTATTTTCATATTTGCAAGTAATTCACACATTCAATCTACTATTCTCATCTTTGCACGTAAGTTCACACATTCAATCTCACTATTCTCAATCTACTACAAGTAAGTTCACACATTCAATCTACTATTCTCATCTTTGCAAGTAAGTTCACACATTCTATCTACTATTATCATCTTTACAAGTAAGTTCACACATTCAATCTACTCATCTTTGCAAGTAAGTTCACACATTCTATCTACTATTCTCATCTTTACGAGTAAGTTCACACATTCTTAGTACTATTTCATCTTTGAAAGTAATTCACACATCTCTATTCTATCTATTTCTCATCTTACAAGTAATTCACACATTCAATCTACTATTCTCATCTTTACAAGTAAGTTCACACATTCAATCTACTATTCTCATCTTTGCAAGTAATTTGCACATTCTATCTACTATTCTCATCTTTACAATTAAGTTCACACGTTCTATCTACTATTATCATCTTAACAAGTAATTCACACATTCTATCTACTATTCTCATCTTTACAAGTAAGTTCACACATTCTATCTACTATTCTCATCTTTACAATAAGTTCACACGTTCTATCTACTATTATCATCTTTACAAGTAATTCACACATTCTATCTACTATTCTCATCTTTACAAGTAAGTTCATACATTCTATCTACTATTCTCATCTTTACAATTAATTCACACTATTCTATCTACTTATTATTCTATCTACTTTCTCATCTTTACAGTAATTCACACATTCTATCTACTATTCTCATCTTTACAAGTAAGTTCACACATTCTATCTACTATTCTCATCTTTACAAGTAATTCACACTATTCTATCTACTATTATCATCTTTACAAGTAAGTTCACACATTCTATCTACTATTCTCATCTTTACAAGTAATTCACACAGTAAGTTCACACATTCTATCTACTATTCTCATCTTTACAAGTAAGTTCACACATTCTATCTACTATTATCATCTTTGCAAGTAATTCACACATTCTATCTACTATTCTCATCTTTACAAGTAAGTTCACACATACTATCTACTATTATCATCTTTGCAAGTACTTCACACATTCTATCTACTATTATCATCTCAGTGCACATGGCTATAAGACCACGCCTACTTGTTTCCAATTCATCGTGACCGTGCCATGTACCAGTGATGACCCAGTGGTAGAGTTGCTGCCCAGCAAGCTGTAGATGACAGGTTCAAATCCTGCTGGTTCCAAGATTTTTTCTCACTTGTTTTTAAGGAGTTGACCTTCATTTACTTGGTGGCAGCCAAAAATTACCTTTCAACAGTTGAAACTTCTCTCAGGAAGCCTTATATTCACATCTTTACAAGTAAGCTCACACCTTCCATCTACTTTTCATATCTTTACGAGTAATTTCACTCATATTTCCTACTAATATCATCTTTGCAATTAATTTTATTTGTTTAATATCCTATTCACATCTTTGCAAGTAAGTTCACTCATTTCATCAACTATTCTAATTTCAATGCACATATATGACCATGTCTACTTCATCCTTTGTTACAAATGCAAGACAATTAGTACCATGTTGAATTGTTTTCACAATTATAGATGCTTTTTAAAGGATAATTTGAGGCTATTCCATTAACGTTGGGTACCAGCTATTTTATCAGAGACAATTCTGAATTCTTATATTTCTTTTCCATAGGTTCTTTTCTAGGATTGTTCAGGCTCCTTGGGGTTCCTGTCATACGTACATTCCTCTCAGCAGTCGTGCAGGAACATGAACATGGTAAAATATAAGGTTTCATATAAACCACTTCTTCTGGTAATCAAATGTATGGCATTGCACCTGTGTATATTCGTGCATTAGTCCTAGTATATGCACCCAAAAACAATCTGAGTCCAAATATAACTAAAAGTGCTCTATCAAATTCCTGTGCAGACCTAATCTTAAAAGATAGCACCAGAACTCTGGAATAAACTCAGTTGGATCAATTTAAATCTTAAATGAAAACACAATCTTTCATTAATGTGTAGTTTATTGTTTGACATAAATACAGTGATTTTCTAACATGCATACAGACCATTGTGTTATCATGCGTTTATTAAGCAATGTACTAAAGTACTATTATCTATTATTTTAAGAAAATAATATTGTTGTGAACAAAACAGTAGAATTGAGTTCAGGTTGTCTCATGATAAAAGATTAAAAGTCATACAAATTGTTGTTCTTTGTTTTGGTCCATTTTTCTACCCCTGATTTTATTCTTTTTAGGAGCATTGTTTGCTTTGCTTGGTGTATTGGATGGTCTGTGTAGCTTTCTTGCCTTACCAATCGTGAATGGAGTATACTACAGTACTATCGATGTATTATCAACTGCAGTCTTCTTCTTCATGTCTGCTTTATTATTCATCTCTATTATCATTACAGGGTAAGTTTTCTTCTTCCTTTAAGACTTACTTCTTTTACTACTACTACTACTACCACCACCACCATCACCACTACTACTACAAGGAATACTACTGCTACTACTACTACTACCGAGATGCCAACCCTCCATGAACATTTTTTTATATTTTTATATGTCACTCCACACAAATTGTAATGCCTCCCTGATTTTTTGAAACATTATTTGTATTATGCTGTATGCAATGGATAGAAACCTCCCTGATTTCTGAATGAATCCTCCCTGAGGAGCAGAGTGTAAGATTGGCATATTTCATACTACCACTAATACCGACATTACACTATTAAACACTGATACCATACCAATATTACACTAATACTGATACTTATACCGACATTACACTAATACTGATACCATACCAATATTACACTAATACTGATACCATACCAATATTACACTAATACTGATACCAATAGTAATATTACACCAATGCTGATACCAATACTGATACTACACTAATACTGATACCAATACAGATATTACACCAATGCTGATACCAATACTGATACTACACTAATACTGATACCAATACAGAAATTATACTAATACTGATGCCAATACAGAAATTATACTAATACTGATGCCAATACAGATATTACACTAATACTGATACCAATACAGATATTACACTAATACTGATACCAATACTAGATATTACACTAATACTGATACCAATACTAATATTACACTAATACTGATACCAATACAGATATTACACTAATACTGATACCAATACAGATATTACACCAATACTGATACCAATACTAATATTACACTAATACTGATACCAATACTAATATTACATTAATACTGATACTAATACTAATATTACACTAATACTGATACCAATACTGATATTATATTGATACCAATACCAATATTACACTTATACTGATACCAATACTAATATTACACTAATACTGATACCAATACAGATATTACACTAATACTGATACCAATACAGATATTACACCAATACTGATACCAATACTAATATTACACTAATACTGATACCAATGCTAATATTGCACTTATACTGATACCAATACCAATATTACACTAATACTGATACCAATGCTAATATTACACCAATACTGATACCAATACCAATATGATACCAATACTACATCCCTCCCTTCCCTAGAAAAAGAAGAATACATTGTTGTATAAATAAAATCCCATTAGGCAGCACCATCAGTACTATTACCGAGGTCACGACAGAGCTAGAAAGTTTTACTTTTCCACTTCCAAAATTTTGAATTGAAGAGCATTTCTTATTATCACACAGGCATATCAAATACACTTCTTTCTTTCTGTTCTTATGGGATGGGTAGCGTCTACTATTACCAAGGTATTAGTGTCGGGCTCCCATGGGCTTATCCATGGCCATGAGGTGTAGTTTTTAAGCCCCACTGCCCTACTTGTAGCTACTTGCTCCCTCTATATAGAAAACTTCCCCAATCGGTGCCTGTTGGTCCCCCATGATCCTCTTTTTCTTATGTTGATTGAGAGCTGAGTTAATGAGACCTGTCAGTGACCTCGCTGTGTGGTCTAATCCCTTCTGGCTCAGTAGTATTAACGGTCTTTAATAGAGCCTGAATGTTTATTTGTGTGGTGGTTTTGTTTTTCCCATCATAAACTGAATTCAAAATATCCCACCATCTCTCTGATGCTCATCCAGCGAACTGGTTGTCCTTTTACTTTTTTAATATTTGTATTTCTCTTGAAAAGGGATACAGGGATTTGTTCTAATACAGGGTGTCATGTACACCTACCATTCCATTCAAATTTATTGGTCCAAATGGAAATTTGTTGCATTTAAATGCTTTATTCACATACAAAAAATGAAAATAAACGTACATGTGACATGGTACATGACCAACAAAAAGAGTTTAGTGAGAATAAACATATATCACTTGAACATTCACATTATGTTTACATTATATTCAATGTTTGTTCATATATCCAGAGTAATTACAAACACAAGATTACATTGTAATTATTATTATTATTATCATTATCAATATTAATATTATTCATTACAATTTAGTTTCATTAGTATACAAATAATACACAACAGTGAGGGCATTAGTAAGAATCACCCACACGAGCTACGTTTGGACTGTTTGAAGGTACCAAGTGTGGGTAATTACACTAATGCCCGAACAAAATTATGTGTATTATTTGTTTGATAATATTAGGTTTTATTTTTTTAATGAAATGATGTTTTATAACATGATTTTGATAATGACCGTTCATTACCATTGGATAATGACCGGTCACTATCCAAATTACTTGTTAGGCAAAATAAATGCCTGGTCACGTGTACGTTTTCAACCAATCTTTCAATTTGGATCCACGTCATCTTATAAAATGTACTAAGTTTATCTCTCTCCCTCTCTATTTCCTTGTACACAGTGCCCTACAATGCAGGGGATTTGGAAGAGAAAATAGAAATCGCCCTCTATCAGTCCATGCAGACATTAATGATGAAACGGGGCTTCTACCACCAGAGAATGATCAGTAGATGGAGCATTTATTCCCTCTGCATTTTCAAATTTGAAATGATTTGTCAATTATGTGGTTTTTGTATTTAATGGATTGTTCTATGATATGATAATGTTTTGTTAATTTTTTTAACTAATATATAGTTATTAGTTTGTATATTACTTATTATAATGAAGAATGCGGGAATAAAATAAAACAAACAAAAACGGAAAAACTTAGACCTCATAGCAACTTCCTTAGTAAAATCTCTCTCTCTCTCCCATCTCTCTCTCTGTCTCTGTCTCTCTCTCCCTCTCTGTCTGGTTCTCTCTGTCTGTCTCTGTCTCTCCATTTTCTTCTCTCTCTGGTGGAGAGTGGCAAAATGTAGAATGCATGAATTTGGGTTTTTTGTTAGTTCATGACAATGAATTCTGATGAAAAGGGTCTTGATCGAATCGTACTGCTAAACATTGTCAGAACGCCACGGTCACTACTGTTTGCCATTACACTTAATAATTTAAAGATCTGGATTTGCATAGCACTTATTATAACATACTATTCGCTATACATACAATATATTATAACCCTCTCTCTCTAGCTGTATATATGATGAGAGGGACATTTGGAGTGAAAAATTATTTATTAAGTAGACATTGTCATTAGGAGGAAAATTTGGTGCTTTTTACGTTTTATTTCTCAAGGAAGGCCCAATTTTGTTATATATCTCTCTCTCTATATATGTAATTTTACTAAAGGCGTCATTGGAGGGACGTTTGGAGTGAACACGAGTCATTAAGTAGACATTAGGGTTAGGGTTAGGTTTAGGGTTAGGGTTAGGTTTATGGTTAGGTTTTAGGGTTATGGTTAGGGTTAGGATTTTGATTTTTATGATGTCCACTTAATGTACTATGTAGGGTTATATACACTGTTGGTCATAATGGTGGAATTTTTTTTTTTACCCCAATTTATCTAATGATTTTGACAATGCTTTATTCCTAATAGATCTAGATAATAGTATACATTATCAGATTTTATTGAATGACAATTGTGGGGAGTGTTCGTTTTAGCGTGACTGCTAAAGCATGTGTGTGCTACTATGCGAATCAGCTAGGGGGCCTACGTCCTTAAGTAATAACTGACAGTAATGGGGATTAATGCCTCATAAAAGGGCACTAATATAGCACATCGACACGGTTTTGATCCTGGGGGCTCACAGTAACGAGGCCATTGCTTAGCCAATGAATCATGACTGTACGCGGCGGGCGCTAGGGTACGTCGACGCCCCCACAAAAAAAAGAAAAAAAGAAAAGAAAATGCAATACATTTTCAATAATTCATTACATTTTCCCCAGTCCCCAACAGGAAAAATTACTCTGTAGGGATATGCATTATGGTTCAAGGCATGCCCACATAGAATATTTTGTTTATGTTGGTGGTCGGGGCAAAATGCAATGAATTATTGAAAATTTATTGCATTTTCTATGTTTTTTGTTTTTGTGGGGGCATCGACGTACCCTAGCGCCCGCTGCGTACAGTCATGATTCATTGGGTTAGCAATGGCCTCGTTAATGTGAGCCCCCAGGATCAAAACCGTGTCGATGTGCTATATTAGTACCCTTTTATGAGGTATTAATCCCCATTCTTGTCAGTTATGACTTAAGGACGTAGGTCACCTAGTTGATTAGCATTGTAGCACACACATGCTTTAGCAGTCACGCAAAACAAACACTCCCCAATTGTCATTCAATAAAATCTGAGAATGTTTACTATTGTCTAGATCTATAAGAAAAAAATCATTGTCAAAATAATTCAATAAATTGGGGTAAAAATAATTATTCCACCATTATGACCAACAGTGTATATTTCAAAAGGGTAATTTACCTTGAATTATATTTTACCCAGTAAATGCTTTATATATAAGAGTTGTTTATAGATTGCTAAGTATCTTATACTCAGTCATGAGAAAAGATATGATCACCTGTATTTGAAATTTCAGTTCCTTGGGGGAAAAAAGCATTTTGAATAAATTTCAAATTGTAATTTTGTTCTACTGTATGCAATATTTTGATGATGTGGTAGATGAGCTTTTCAATGACATAACAAACATAGATTGGTATTATTTACTAAATGGCAATGCCAGTTTTGTTAAGTAATCCAACTTCAAAATAATGAAGACCTGAAGCCAAAGTAATACAATTTGTTAAATTGATAGCGGAATTATAGCACAAAAGAGATTTACAATCATGAATTTTATTATTGTTATGTTACGTTTTGTCCTGGATCATGTAGAACTATTCAGGAACTACTGTAAGACATGGAGTAAGCAGAAAAATGGGAAAGTTTGAAAATTATGTTCTTAAAATTGAAGAAAAAAGTATGTGTAGAATAGATTAGCTATAAATGGAGTAATTTCCATTGAATGAAATGAATATGAGAATTCAGTTGGTCATTAGTAAAGTGGGAACGTGATGATAGCTTTTCAATGAGTAGATTATTATTGTAGTTCATATGTGTATTTGTAGCAGTCATTTTCAAAGTTATCAAATATCAAACTTCTTCGAAATTGTGCTTATACTAATTTGTTTTGTGTGTGAATGAAGGAGAGTTCTATGCCGTACAGTGATGCAAATTATCATGGCAATCTATAACAAATTGCAACCGTTTAATCATCATCATGAAGGGAAGTGATATACAATCAAACCTGCTTTAGTGACCACCTGTCTACAAAGACCACCTGTCTACAAAGGCCACATTTGTTATTTCCCTTAAAAATAGTTTATCATTGAATCATTTACTATTAAGGAACCTATCTACAAAGACCACCGTCTATAAAGGCCACTTTTTGTGTTTCCCTTGGGTGGTCGCTATAGACAGGTATGACTGTACTTAATTCAACTGCTAAAACAAAACAAGGCATGATATACAAACATTAAATTTTGCATATATAGTCTTTAAAACATTCTACTAGTATCATCAATTGGTCATCTATACAAATATGTAGCTCCTTTTTGGGTAGCAATAACCCTGATCCACAGTTTATATATTGATTTCGTTAAGGTCAGTGAATTGTGTGTAACAGTTCAATAATTTACAAATATTTTGTGTACTATAAAAATGTAAGAAATTTATAATTTGATATCTTATGAAAAATGATTATCTTTATTAACAATCTGATATACTGTAGATATTGTATTTTTGTGTCACTTTTCCTGTTTTAAGATAAAAGAATTTATTTTATAGTGATTATAGAAATTCAATAAAAAATGGTTTAGAATTCTACTAAATTCATTGTTTTTTCTTCTTTACGTGTACTGTGTGCAAAGGTTTCTTCATGTTTTTTTCTGACGACGATATGTAATGTGAGCAAATCAGACAAAAATGATTTGTGCACTTGTGAATATTTGACAGTACATCACTTTTGTTTTCACAAACCAGATTTTCTTAGTAAAAAGTTGTAGTCAAGAAAATGACAATTTTGAACATTTCAAAGAAGACTTAATTTTATTAGGAGTTTTATTTGTTTTATGTTATATCAGAGAGATTAACCAAACCTCATACAACTCCAAAAGTGGTGAAGAACGTGCTTCATGTGTCTAAAAGACGATCGTGATTGAGCATCATAACATATCTCATGTGGGGGAGAGTACCATAAATACGTCCTTGCCGTATATGTTAAAACGTTTCAGTTTGGACGGGTACTCGGATGTACGCGACCTCTCGGTCGTGACCTCGGTCCAATGCATAATATATTACCGGACACACACTACAATCGGTAATCGCCGAGCAGAATCGTCTGAATACATTTTATGTACCCCAAGTTCATAATACAAATTTAATTCACGGTTACAAAATGTCGATCATATTTCTTCTCAAAATTCACAGACTACAGCTCATGTGATTTGGAAAAGGTTATGATGACAAAAACTATAACAGAACAGGTTAATCTTGGTGAGTTTCAATTTTTGAGGACTACAAAAACAGGTACATTATGAATTCATAGTGAAAAAATGTTGAATTTTCTATAATCGATTGCTGGAAGTAATACGTTATGAATATTCATGAACCCAATGCATGATCGTTATCGCAGCCTCTGGTGACTCATGTGCAAACTATCATCTTCCTCTTACCAGGACAGTTTTTGCTCCACAAAGCAATATCATACACAGGACCAAACAGCTGGAGAAACATTGATCCGAATCTCAAACAGCTTAAAAACTGTGGCAGCTTAAAAAAACACATTAAATTGTTTTCATTGAATATGTACGTATAATGCACCACCATTTATACCATTTCATTGTTTTTGTCTTATATTTTGCTACATTTGATACCTGCATTTTTAAAATAAATTATTATACTTCTACCTGATTACGAATGACACTGTGTCAAAATGATTTTAAGGAACTCAAACTCTACAAACCATGCTTTTTATTGAATTCATTCTTTTCACAAGTATAATTTCGAAATTATCTGGTGTAAAGAAGGAAAGAAATGCGCATGCGTATTTGCGCTATTTTTCTAATGTTTGGGGTTTCCCATCAACGATTGTGCAATGCTGGTTGGTCATGTACTCGTATCTCTCGGGCATATATATATACAGTAGATTTTTCAACTAAAACCATTTTCAGTCCATTTCTGGTGACGGACGGATCTGGAAGACGGCAATCATTTGTTTGGCGAAATACATTAGGCTTTTATTTTTATTTTTTGTTTGTCGCATCAATTCCGGATCGCTTATCAGATCATGGAGACGATGCTATTTTGGGGCATCGTCCTTATTGGGTGTTTTTCATCATGCAGCGGATCAGTTTCAAGCACATCGCGATTTTGTGTGATCGCAAATCGAGTCGGGAGCAGCGGGTTTGGAAGCCAACGCCTCCTGGCTTTTAGATCAAATGCTACAGCTTCTCCAGTTTCCGTGGAAGTGAGCTACGGAGATGTGGACCCCTCCTCCAGTAGGTGGAGTCCGTGGAAAACTCTTGGAGCTCCGATGGCCAGTCTGCCGCTGTCTAACCCTGTGTGTGGATTCACAGAACGAAATCAAACCCAGGTTTGTCTCTTTTATTACTTTTTCCATTCATTGAATCATCATTTTCTACCATGAAGCAGTTGATGAATGGGGGGGGGGGGGGGGGGGGAGTCACACGTCAAGGAGAGGGTTATATAATTATAAAGGTGATAGCACCTTCTTCTTCTTCTTCTTTCCCAACTCCTTTTCTTTTTTTTTCTCTTCTTTTT